TAGGTGTTGACCGGCCTCACCACAGGCACAGTCGAAATAAGCCAGCATTCACTGCGCTTGCTGGATGTTCAGCGTTATAAGACGATACCGTCAGTAAGCCGAAGGTGATGTAGTTGCTGGCCGGACCTTCACTCCCATGTCTTCCCATTCCAACTGACGCATGACGTTCTCGAGGGCGGCGCTGAAGAGTTTTGGCGAGATGGTATCGCCGTGTCGGATCCCTCTCTTAACGTCGATACTCGCTGTAGAATGGTGAGATCCTGGTCGTAGAGTTGCTGTAGAGCTCACGAAGAATTTTGATGTACTGAGTAGGGACGTCCTGGTTGCCCAAGGCTTCGATGACCGCTTCTGTCTCCACAGAGTCGAAAGCCTTCTTCAAATCGACGAACGTCAGACAAAGCGGCATCTTGTGCTCTGAGAATGAGTCTCGCAACCGCGTGAATGTGTTCGATCTTGCTGAACCCTCTCTGAATCAAGTATTTTGCCGATTCTGTTGACTCGAATGAATACCTTATAGATTGCAGGCAGCAAGCAGATAGCTGCCAACGTCGTCAAATTCCCTTATTGTAGAGCAACACTGTCCTGCCGGTTTTTCACGGAGTGGGCCCTTGCACTTCGACAGGTAGAGCGTGAAAAGTCGAGCCAGAGTTTTGGTGAAAACTAGTTGTGCATTCTTCAGATGTTCCGGTCTAACCCTGTCAAGACCGGATGCTTTACGCTTCTTCACCGACATAATGACATTTCGGACTCTGGAAGAAAGAACCGAAGAGCGACTGCATTTGTGGTACATGATAAGTAGGCAGATGGATATGGCTATCGAACAGGCCCAAGTAAAAGTCGTTTATGACTTTCTGAGGATGCTCCTAGCAGCCTATGCTGCTTCAGCTAAGCTTGCTGCTCCTCGCTTTTTGAGAACTTGCTCTATTGCGTCTCTGCATAGCTTCGCAAGTTTAGATGTGAGACCTGAGACCGCAATGTATATAGTACGGATAATATGACGTATAGAAGGATTAGGGGCAAATGACGGTGTGCAAAAAAACGCTGCAAAGTATCCGAGGGGTTTGCGTGAATCAACGGTCTCTGCTGATATGGATTCGTTCATGAAAAATGTAGAGACATCTCGCGTTATCAGAAAACTGTTCTGAAAGACTAGAGCAAATCTGACATAACAGTATGATTCCACACCGCGAAGCAGTGTGATGTTGTTCACTAGTAGCATTTCGTACGTACCGCAGGGTTGCTCATTCATACCGACACCACGACCGCGGCTGGTCAACAAAACTATCATCTCAGTACTACTAAAATGATCATCACGACACAGCCTGGAGCAGATGAAGGTGGGAAGCATCCAGCAGAGAATGAAGCAAATGAAAATGGTACGGGTTGGCCACATTGTGTACTTGTAAGTGTTTACGACACCCAGGGTGCAACTTCGAGCACATTCAGTTTCCTCATATCCAAAATCTTCATTCGAGAAAAGTGGACAAGAAATAATTTATGTAATGGCGCGCCGAGTCGGTGCACAAATCTCCACGTGCGATAATACTGCGTCAGAAACTGCAAGCGTATTCATTATAAACTTTGAAGGCTGCCATAACAATATAGCATCTAATTGCTGCGAACTCTTGATCTTGTTCTATACTCTACATCTCGAAGTCAGATTAGGCGTGTCTATGGCTTCGACGTTGCCGCTGCCACGCTGGATAGAAATTGCGCGGATGAGCTAATGCTTTGCTGATATCGAGCGGAGTAAGTTACAAAGAACTAGCCACATAGTCTCTATGAAGTGCGCGAGGGAATCCAGACGCGCATAATACGACTCGAGATACGCACTGTACACGCTATTATCTTTGAGTGTTGGTCTTCCGTCCACAAATGAATCTGCAATGCAGACTTAGCAACTGTACGCACAAAAGTATTAACGGCATCAAAGGCACACTTGGAAGCGAAGCGATCATCGCCACGGAGATGCTGCTATTCTGCATGATCACAAGCATCCCCAGCGAAGGGTCGCAAAATGTCCTTCGTATGTGGTGAGGGAGTGACCAAAAACAGTAGCCATTAATTATTAAGAGTGGCAGAAAGTATCTAGATGTTAGTTGGAAATAACGCACTCGCGTGCGCAAAATAAAGGCAGCATCTAACAACGCGCATTAGAAGGAGAGCAGGAAGAAGTCCTTTTTCTCTCCTTCTCACACAGAGTTGAGCAGATCTTGTTAACGTCTCCTTGTAACATCATGACTCGGGACCTCCCTGTTCCTGCATGTGTTCTGCGTCATATGCTCTGCCGTCCTCGTCACATGTGAGGTCAAGGCTCAATGGAATAGGATATTAATATAGAGGATGTCTTTCTAGTAGGACTCATATTGGTCGTGACATCTTGACGGAATGATACCTGGATTATTGGCGGTTCTTCATTGTCCTCCAGCAGCAGCTGTCACAATGTGGAAGGTTGGCGGTTAGTTTCCCTGCAGCAGGTTACTTTCATAATTTTCCTAATTGAACCCACCCCTTCTGGTAGCAATAGACACACCAAAATGAATACCTAGAGAATGACACACATAAAGTTGAAATTAGGGCTTTATATAACAGAGGGCTAACCCCTGCAGTTAGGCCCAAGAATGGTGGTAATGTGGGAAAGCACGAGGCAACAAGGAGATCAGGGCAATTTTTGACAAAGGAGGTCGTTCAGGATGTCTGCATTCTGAAAGGGTTCACACGTAGGCTACAACGCTGTGTTTCGTATTTGCTGAGCGAGCCAGAAAGGGTTTAAAAAAGCTGTTATGAATGGATGGGTATCACGCTCTCGGAGTGACGGTTGGGACTTGTAAAGAAGATCACATGCATATCTGAGGGTACCGATGAAGATGATATCGGAAACAATGTGGAATTTGTCAAAAATTGGACTATGTCAGTTTTAGTGTTGGAAGTGTGCGGGGTTTTTTTAAGCGTCGTCGGCATTCCATCACTCACAGCGGATAGATGGTCAAGTGGATAGCGTGGTGGACTTGGCGAGAGACTTCATGATTTGACTCCGTTGTTTGTTGTTTTTGATTGTCGCCTCCAAATCGGTGCAGAATTGATTCAGCCTCAAAGTTAACGCTATATTCGCAATCAGGACCGAGTAGCCGCTGCAAATGGTTTCTATTAAAGGCCGGCAAAACGATTTTGCACCGCCAAACTGGCAGCAATTGGCGCCGACGCCAAAAATGGATGTCATATCTGTGAACTGGATCCCGATCAACCCCCATAGGCCAGATTCCAGTTAAAGTCAAGATTTTGACGTAATTTCGAAAAAAGGAAGTGACCATGGGCTACAGCTCGTCATGCATGTCGGCTGGCGACGAGCGAAGACGAGTGTGAAATCAAGAAGTATGCTGTGGTGGAGCACGGAACCGAGGGTCAGGCCGTACAGGAAACACACCCACCTCAAAATCCCAGTCCTCAAAATCGCTCCTCCTGTGGAGAAGAAGCATTGCGAGTGGAAGCGCCGTGAAACCACATATCACGTCCTGATCGAGAGCAAAAGCTGTCAATTCGTCATGCTGTTGTCTATCACTAGCATGGGTGTCTACCACTGTCTACTCTGTAGTGGAGCTTTTGAGAAACTCGTTTTTTTGTTTACTAGCAGGAGGTACCTATAAGCTATTAACTTATCAATGTTTAACCTTTCAAATCCAGGTCAAAATTTCAATTTCCTCTGAAGCTTTTATCTCAAAGAATATCGACTCCGACCTTGAATATAACATCCATTCTCCCGATCGCTCCAATTCACGCCACTTCGGCGAAATGACCTGCCTTTTTGATGCTATAACTCTTTTCCCACCAGATTACGGTGATAACCGGAGTGTAACAGTTACGATGGTCTTCAATGAATGTGATACCTATATTGGAGCTGGCGCATCTAGAGCAATTCTGGAATCTCCAACCTTATGTGCAATAATTTTGCCATTACGAGGAATTAAACCTTGAAATTTCTTCACCATTTTGATTTTCGCGGGGTCGCCATGTTTCCTTACTTCGGGCTGCCAAGTTGCTCTGCTGCTCCGCCTCCGCCGCTTGTGCTCCCCCATCAGTGTGTAGCTAGCAGCATCATTGCGTCGATCTTTCAGATGAGGTGTGCCACCTCCAGCGCATATACTATATAAGTTTCCCATGAAAGGCATTATCAATGAAGGCTGTGCTGGTAACATGGTGGCTATGGTTCAACACGTGCAAACGACTTCTCAGTTGGATGCTAGCTCGTCCATTACCGGAATCATCAGGCAAAGAAAAGGACCCCTCCAGGGACCTCGCGTTCTCGACGGATTTCATTTTTTTCGCCAATGGGGCATTTTTTTTAGCATTCCCGCTTCCACTATGGATCCAACCCAATCTTATCGCGGTCCCTAGCTTTGAACATTTATGATTTGGTACTGAACAAGAGCAGCCTGACAGTGGTGAAGAATCGGGAAGACAGCAGTAGTCAATTGATTAAAGGCAAAGGTCAGGCTCAGGCACGCTAGAAAAGTAATTCCCGTGCCTGGAGGTTGTATGTGAGTTGCTGCACACATTGCAGCAAATTCCCATCTTGAAAAACCTCGCTAAGGCCCCGGAGCGTTCGATTTCAATCCAGGGTCGCCTGGTCAATCCAGGACCGCCCACCTCCGGAAGTGGTGCGTGGCTGGCATAACGTGTGAAATCAGCTAGGCTGATTGCCGTAAAACCGATAGAACGAATAACATCTCCAGAAAACTCGTTTGTACGTGCCTTTCCTAAGCCAGCCTCCTTCACTACTAGTGGGAAAGAGGGTTTTGTTGACGGCCTTGTCGACGGTTTTTCTCAGTTTTTTCTTCACTGTCGTTCCACTTCGCATCTCTATACTCAGTTTCAATCGCCATAATACCCCTTTATTGTGCTCGACTTTTGCTGGAGAAACTGTAGCAATGAATAGCAAAAAATACTGGGAAGCAGATTTAGGGAAGCAGCAAGAGCAGTTGAAGACCGACGAAACGCAAAACATGAATACCGGCGAAATGCAAAACGTGAAGACCGAGGACACGCAAAACATGAATACCGGCGAAAGGCAAAACGTGAAGACCGATGGAACGCAAGACGTGAACACTGGCGAAACGAAGAACGTGAAGGTCGGCGGTAAGCAAAATGTGAAGGCAGGCGAAACGCAAAACATGATGGTCGACGAAACGCAAAAAGATACAGAGAAGCGCAGTAAGCGTTCTCCAGAGAAGGGCAAAAAGCAAGGAACTCCCGGGACTTCCACAATCTCTGATGAAGTGATTCCAGAGTTGCAGGCGCTTATTCCCTTAGAGGGCGTTCTTGTTGAGCAGGTGGGTCATAAAAATCCAGATTCATTTATCTCTGGAGTGCAAAAAAACAACATCTAAGAATAGATAGTTATACTGGAATGAAGACTACCAGTAGATCTGGAAAAGGTTTTAGAATATAAAGGGGTGCTAACTCTTGGGAAATGAGCTACGATGAGAACTAGTGGAGAATCCCGACGAGGTTGTTGTCGTTTCAAAATGAAAGTAAAATGTATATGCATACACAGTTTGGCTCCGCTCGCTATGGCGCGCTTGTCTCAGTAGACTACACTAAAACTGAGTAGCCGGGCTCTTGCAATAAGCAGCATGCATGCTGACAAAATAGTGCATGTCCCGATACTCCTAATCCCATAGCATTTTAACATTTTCGAGAAGCTAACGTGATCTGGCGGTCGAATAAGCTTCGGATGACTGATACGATTCTAGGGTTGCTTTCCGTTAGCCCTTGGCCCAAACAACTGCAGTGCCTCGGGATAGTTGTGTGGTTGAACAACTTTCTATGACAGCGATATCGAGAAAGAAACATCAATGCTTGTGTATTCCCAAAAACAACGACCATTTTAAGAAGCTCGGGCAAGTTGGCTGTCGAATGGTTCTCGGTGCTGGCGACGACAATGTTGAGGGAATGAAACGTTTTTCCCATCACGTATAAAGTTACCAACTTTGGTGACCTCTCACTTTTTCAAGCTAACCGTTCTAAACAATCCTCATCCAGTGTTATCACCTTTTGTCACCAAACAACTAAGTTCTTGTGTCACCCTTTACAACGTATCCTAAAGACAACACCTATCTGCTACTGGGCCACGCGTTGTGAGTTTCGTGAAATTCGCGTTCCAGTGCCCCTTACCAGCCCTTATCAAGTGTTATCACGTTTTGTTAGCCACCAAATATGTTCCTGTTCCACCCCCTACAACATAATTGGAATGCAGCGCCCCACTATTGCAGCGAGGCGCTATATGAATTTCGTGACAAATAGACGTACAGACGCATACACATGCACAGACATACTTTTAGAATCATATATAGTAGGATAGGTATGCAATAAGAGAGGGGAGCCTGAGTCATCACATTAGAAGGATGGCGTAATAATGAATGATGAAGAGGTCCAATTGAATCCTGAGGCGAGGAAGACCATTACACCGCGTGTATGATGGAATAAGGAAAGTGATAATGACCAAAGTTGGCGCGGCATTTAGAGGCGAAGGCAGCCAGCGGTCCTGAAATTTCAGGATCGGCACCCAGTTTGAAGATAGAGGGGAAGGGTAAAAATTGTGGCAACATGAGCTTGCCGCTAATATTTTCAATTTTACCATTAGATACTAGCAGTATACGGGCATTCTCGTATTTTTTGATGACTTATTTTACCTTAATTGTTTTTTGATAGCACAGAAGCAATAGTCATGGACAGTGTTTCAATTTCATTGCATTTTATGTGCCGATTTTGAAGATACTTGTGACAAGTTGAAGGTTAAAAACTCGGTTTCAGGCGAACGGCCTAAAAAAAGCCTCAGAGGAAAAAACGGACAACGGCTTGATTTTTTTGAAAGTGTTCATTCAAAAAAATTCGAATGTTTTTTTGGAAGCATCTGTCTTCTTGCTTTTAACTATGCTTAGAGGTCTACAAAACGTTTGAAGGAAGTTATGAACTTTTGAACAACGAAGACTCGCGCTCTCAAGAACTGGACCACAAACCCCTGAAAATCTCATAGGACCGCTTTTGATTGAGGGCAAAACCCTTTAAATGAAGAAATTTGTATCGTAATGTAATTGCAGCAAGATTTAGTTATTCACACTTTTCAAATTCATGAAAAAAAACTTGGTAGGTTTGCGAATACTAACAGGTCTAGGTTTTAGCAAAAGTGGAGTAAACAATAGCTCTGAAGTTGCAAGAATTTGTGAAATGAAAAGTTCCTCTAATCAACGTATTAAATGTAATCCATTCCAATATTCCATTTCCCCATCATCGTTCCCTTACATCTTGACAATTATTATATTTGTGATGTTTTCCAGAAAATCGAACTCCTTGAAATTATCAGTGATTTGGAATCAGAAAATCAATACGACGTCAAAACGCTGGCCGGAGTTCCAGTGAGTATTGTATAAGTTAGTTCTGGCGTGTATTTAGGCATCTCCTTCGACCGTTTCCTAATTTTGGGTATCCCACGACCTAATGAATTTTGGGCGCCATTCTTGTGGGCTTTCATAACTGTTTTTTGACATGCTGTTACTTCTCGTTCCATAACAGTTATCTTGGCATGCCGTTGCTTCTCGTATCTAGTGAATAATATTATCAAACAGCTCATCGATTGGTTTATAGCTTCTGGTGAGCCTAACCCCTTTCAAAGAGTTATCTCCTTCTTCAGTAGCGGGGAACCGAAACCGTTGGTTAGGGTTCTAGCAAAGCATATAATGAATAATCAAGCCATAGTGCCTCAGACTCCTCCATTCGCGGCCCTAAGAGGATGCTGCCTTGCACCTGCGCAAGAGCTCTGTTGTCCATTATTCTCGAACTTTGCCTGCAAGAAAGCTCCGCATCCTACCGCACGCAGAATATAATATTTTAGAAACGTGTGAGCGTAAAGACAAAGTCGGGATCGAGTCGGGTATACTCACTACTGAAGTGAGCCAGCTCCTTCAACAGCAGACTTCTTCACAAGCATAGAAGGCATGCGTGTGATGAAGTCGTGTCCAAAAGAGTTTTCTGGTCATATCTGCCATTGCTGGCATCGTGCTGGGTGTCAATAATCTACGTTTGACCGTCGACCACGACAAGTGAGTGAACATGAATCTCCAAATCTGTCCTTAAAGTTGAGCAATATTTATCCGCTGTTTTCGTTTCACACATAAGTTTATTAACAAAACCCATAACAAGAGCAAACCAAGTATTGTTCACAATTGTATGATCAACAAACGCTTTCCGACAAACCTCTCTGCAACCGTGCCTCCACCCCAGCTGACACGCCATGTGCTAGCCATCTACCACCTACTGCAATGGGCAAGGTCTATATCGAGAGGCCCGGCACGGCTATGATCGCCGACAATAAAGCCCTGAAACGTAAGCAAAAGAGCAGGAAAAAGCTTTTGAAATAGGCTAGTAGGTCAACTTTCCTCCTTGTGGATTTAAGAAAAAATGGATAGTCCATTGTGGTTGCAGGATTTGATTATTGTATTAGTATCTTTTTGGGCTGTTTCAGTAGCATACTTCGGCAGCTTGTTTGTATCATATACCATCGCATTATACATACAGCGGAACATCTTGTTTTTCTTATTTCTTCCTTTTTCCTTGCCATCAATAATCATCTCCATCTTCGTGCAGCTACTTTCCTACGTGCATTTATTTATTTCTCCCAACTTCCCGAACGCATCATCTATTTTCTACAGTCTTTTTGAGATCAGCATACTTTCAGCTATTTCACATGGCTGAAAAATCGAATTGCTTTTGTCGAAATATCAACAAAACGCGGCGCGGATTTCAAATGGTTATGGCTGATTTCACCGGAAAAGTGAGTTGCTCTTTGCATCAAAGTTGTTAGAGTAGCCATAGTACTAATCTATTCGAGAAAAAAGTAATCTACTCACTTGTGCTCAAAAAATTCCCACTAACTGGATTAGCAGACTATTCACCGATCGACTCTCGTATGCCACTGTAGAGAAGTGGGAGCTCAAAATGCATTGATAAAGAAACTCAAAGGTCAATGTTCCAACAACAACATCAAACCGTTGCTGCTCTTATTATTCTCATAACATTTTGCTATGCGATGAGTTTCTCGAAAAAATAGCCTTCAAATTCGGCATTGAAAGTTGCTTCCATCGAGTATCGATAACGCTTTGATTGCTGCTCATCCAAAGGCTGGTGATACATCGAACATTTGTGTTGAGGGATTGAGGGGATTTACTCACAATATTGAGCGGCTACTTTCCTAAGAGAGTAAAACGGATGAGATTGATGTAGCGTTCTTACGGCGCCCACAGGGTCTCAACAATGCCTTATCCGCAGCTTGCCTGCTTTAGTGATAGTTCCCTACGCCAGTCGGCTGTCTCAGCCGCAGGTAGCCCATCTTGCTCAGGTACCGGCACACTCTAAAGAATTTCTTATTCCAGGTGTTTGCTGCATTAAAACGGCCCTGCAAGTCCTTGTACAGAACTAACCTCTGCGCATCTTGCTTCTTTTTTAAGGACGTGATCGTCGTCGAATCACCTCCTGGAAATAAGGTGAGCAACATGATCGATGGGGCATACCTGCTTTTCAGAACTCACTAATTTCTCGAGTGAATTTCATTCAACTCGGCACTCCCGCAAGAACTACTTGCTAATTCAAAACGATAAGAAGCATTACAGTACATTGCATTACATTATTGCGCTACATTATATTTATTTATTACGTTCTTATGGTGGGTCATCGGCAAGCATGTCACTGTCAGTAAAACCCATAAAAGAGAATAAGAAAGCTTGGTTCTGCTGGTGCTGAAGAAGTTGTAGCTCACAAACGATATGGTTTCGAGTCTCTAACGTATTTTGAGACTACTACCTATTTTTCGCTGAACAGTGATTTAAGTCCAACATCCTCTAAAGAAGAGATTTGTACGAGCCTCGAAGTTAGAGTTGTGGGAGACTTCTCAACATAGATGTCTAATAGCTTTAGAAGGAGGGTGCTTTAGGAGGGAGCTTTGCTTACGAGAGAGCTTCAGAGGGAGCCCGCAAGGACAATTAGAGAGTGTGTATGTTGACCAGTAAAACAACCTTGAGAATTCTAGCAAATATTAACACCGTTAGACAATGGCTAACAACTCAATTAAAATCTGCAAACTGACGATTAATATCGATGGGAGGCAGCAGGAGAATACGGGGAGTGGAAACTGAAAAATTCGTAGGAAGATTACAAAATAATAGCATCATGAAGTGTACAAGAAAAAAAGAAATAAATGAGAAAAAAAGAAAGAACAGAAAGGAGCTCTGTGGCTCTGGAACATGATTTGTACCAAGTTGCTTCCACATCAGGGAACTTAGATGAGGATTTCCTCGATAAAAATAAGGTGAAATAAGGGGAAAGTTGCCTAGTGGGGCGACAGCGAACTTCCTGAGGACGCGAACTGACACGCAATTGGCAGCGAAAGATTTGATCTGAACGATGGCATGGCTCATTCCTGGTGCAATTTACGCGATACGCCTACCGATTATCTACGCTCGCCGCAGGTCTACACGTGGCAAGTGATTAGATAGCGAAGAGATCGTTAGCGTTGAAGAGGGCTCAACGATAGAGTAGCATCAGGCGGAAATCGACGGGCAAGGGTCTCATTAACCAGGTTCTTGGAGCCGATTCCCACGGGTTTTCCTTCTTTCTTGTGCCACTCACCATCCACAATTTGGAATAAGTTGCTTTTTCATCGTGAATTCTGCCTTGGAGGCGCGAAACAGAGGAAGGTGACAAAAAATCCTGGAGGCGAAGAGCTGTGACAAGGCATAGAATCGGAACAATTTACATTTGTGTAGGAGATCCATGGTTAGTTTGTCAATCCAGACAGCCGACCTGTCAAAGAAACACTTCCTCCTGAGATTGTATAAAAGCTGGCACGTGAAACAGGTCCGGTGTGAAAGTGATGTAACAAGGCCATCAAGTAGACGATGGTTTTGAATTACAGAAGCTTGACGGTAGCTGGACAACTATGACATCTGAGTATTTTGAAGGCCAAAACGTAATCAGCAAAAATATATCTTAAAAGCAAAAATATATCCCAATCCAAGTTCTCCGAGCCAATGCTGACGTTGGCATAGACTTGGGACACTCGTATCTACAGGATGTTCCATAGCTATTGAGCAAATTTGAGCCTAAATTTAGTGGGTATTCACAGTTCTTCTTTCAAAAGCGGCAGACCTTGTGATCCGGGTGTGCCTCATATGGCGCGATCCCATTGGCATTAGAGCACACAGGCCGTAATTACCACGTCCTGCTCTGGCCGGACAACTCGTCCGCGCAGCACATTCCGTTCGTTCTCGTAGCCTTAGAATCTGGCTAGCAGGAGCTACTCGCCCCTTTTTCAGATCTTTGGGACTCAGCGAGATGTTTGTGACCCAGATTATTAGATCGATCAATTACTGAAGTCTAGTAGATGGGTGATACGGACGAGTTGTCCGGTCGCAGCAGGATGGGGCATTTATGATTTGTGCGCTCCAATGCAAATGGGATCGCGCCATATGACTGCCCTCCTGTGATCCTCTAACTTCTTGCGAATAATCACGTCAAATTGCACGGTTCACCGATCTGCCTACATCTCATGATGCGCATAGCCTCCAACAGAGTGCTTAAGTGTCGCTCGGCTACGGTCGGCTATCACTTCATTATATAAACCAGAACTTGGGTGTGTCGCTTTGTCGGTGTGTGTGCGTGTGTCGTTCTACCCGTCCGGACCAGCCGTGGGCACCGTTTTGATAGGCGACAAAATTCCTCCCATGAAGGGGAGCTATGATCTCCAAAATTTGAGGATACTTGCATGAGTTAAGACTTGCCAGAGAAGCAAGGAAGAATATTCCACAGAAGCAGCCCAACCATTTTTCGATACCACGCGTTCCGGCCAGAAGTCTTAACCAAAAATAACATACCGTCGCGCACCACCACTGCCTATTTGAAAAGGAATAAAACTCCGTACCAGACCAAGCTACGGTATATTCGGTGCATCGATCTGTAACCAAGGTTATATCAGCACTTCGAGAAGGAATGTGTTAATTTTCAATAGGACCTAGATTCTGCATGGGAGGCAAAATTGTCATGAGCAAAGTTAAAGGACGATTTCTCTATTGGAATGAAGATCGAAGAAGGATAATTCACCAGTTGAGGAGCCGCCTACCTCGTAAGGCGCGGATGAGCGCAATTTGCACCGGGAGTTGACCGCGACGCCCCTATGAGGCTCAATCTTGGCGGTGGGCCATGTTGCACGCCATCACTCGCCGCAGGTCTATATGTGGTGAGTGATTAGATAGGTGAGAGAACGTAGTGGAAGAGAGCACAGCAACGAGAGTAGCATCAATGCTCAAATCAATGGGCAAGGAAGGGGTCCCATTTCTCGGGTTCTGAGCCGTTTCTCATGGTCTTTCCTTCTTTCGTGTACCACTCGTCATCCCTAGGTTAGCTTGGAATGGGTTGCCTTCCCAGCGTGAATTCGTCCTTCAAGCTACTCCGTCCAATTTCACATCCTCAAACGAATTTTTCTCATACCTCCTGACTCCACGTGCTGGACTATCCCATAAGGGCCGTATTGGGGACAGAGCCTGCACTAAACATTGCATCCAAATGGATGAGCCGGAGCCTTTTCTCTGCAAAGCTTCGATGAGAACACCCGAGGATGTCATGCGGGCCACAGTAGAGTTGCACTGAAAGCAATTGGGAGCCATAATCACAGCAACAAGGGACCATTTTGAACAAATGTCATTCCTTTAATGCAAAAATGGATGGCTAAAATCTGTGTATAAACTCTTGAAGATGCATCCGTGAAAGAGTTACACCCAAAGGAAAGTGGTGCAATATTTATGGGACACCCTGTAGAAACATTTGAATTGTCACTTCTTTAGTAATTAAGTATGATCCCTTCTTTAGACCATGTCAGCAAAACATAAAGATAAATGTATGGTGCAGATTCTTTGGACAACCCATCGTTCATCATTTCTCCCGTCGTACACCGTTGCCGTCACTTGCCGTTATTTCTAGAAAATATTTCCAATCACTTGAAGATTGGCCGCTGAATAGCCTTTGCACGAATCCAGCTTCTGATAATCTTGTACTTTCTTACAGTTCTTCCTTCGTCTTAGAGAGGTTTGAAGATTAAGTCTTTTTCTACCAATTGTCGAACAGCTTATTTATACTGTAGTCGGTATTTGCAAATTTTGATCTGCGACCAAAATGAGGATAATACTGCCCACGTAATGTGACGTCGGCGGGAAATTCTGATCAGCATGGTGTTGCGCGTACGTAGTATTATAGGGTTGCACTGATTTCTCCCGCTCTTGATTTTGAACATCCGTATTGGCGGAATCACTTCATTATGTAAGCGAGAACCTTGGTGTGTCGGTTTGTCAGTATGTATGTGTCGTTTTCTTCGTCCGGACGGACCGCTCACAAAACCAGAGACTACGAAGGGCAACACTTTGTGATGTTGATGTCATGATCGTGATAAACCAACAGCGGCTAAAACACCGATCGACCACACTCAATTCTATACAGTGCTGCCGTGGCAGCCGTATGAGCGGGGGAGGGGTGGGAGGGTGGAGAGGGGGGTAGAGGGAAGGGAGCAAGAAAGGGGAGGCCGGAAGGGAGGGGAGGGAGAGAGAGAAAGAGGGAGGGAAGGGGGAGAGGAGAAAGGGAGAGAGAACATGGCGCTGCCATGCGCCGGAAGAAGGGGTATAAGAGGGTATAACGCATCCAGTAGTGGGGTGGTTAATGGAGTACGTCATGCTGCATGCATTCCGTGGTTTCTTCCTACCCTGTGATGCGCGCGATAGCGGGCGGAGCATATCTGGTTGTATTATAAATCACGCTAGCCAAACCGTTTCTGAATACTGTTTAAAGAACCAACTTTTAACTATGATTCACCTATACTTCCGCTACCCGCGAACTCATTCGAAAAAAAAAACATTCCAACTCCGAGAAATATTGAGTATACCTTCAATTCTCCGAGGTAGTTCGATCAAAATAATCAGCGTAAAATGAACGTGGGCTCGCGCTTGCAGTCATCCAAGGCTTATGAATAGTGAACGAGACCTCTACCTGAAATGCAAGATCTACATGCTGCCATGTCCTCAAGTACCCACCGACAAGCAAAGAGGGTTATCATATTTCCTCGAAATGAGGCTGATGCGAGGAAAACAAGAGACCTCTAGAAATATGTGCTCTTATTAGCGATATGATCTTCTAATCTAATTAGCCAATTGAATATGTTCTTTGTTAGTTACGGCAAACGACGGCCTGTAAATTATTACACAACACAAAACACATTAAACACAATAAAACAGTGATCTTTCCCGAATTTCGACTTCTTTAACCCATAACGGACGGCCAGTGTATTATTCGCGTGCGCCACCTTGTGGCGCACGCCGCCACCCAGGGTAGGGTTTATGTAGGCTTATGTGAAAAGCAGGGTTAAGACGGGGCTAAGGTAGGTGTCCGTGTCTCATCATTCAAAAAAGAGATTTCCGTTAACGACATGTTCGTAACCCGCCTTTCCGCTCTACAACTAGGGTGCAAAGAAAGAATGGAAGCTGTAGGTGACATT